CAGAATCTGAATTTTGGGATGGATTTTCCTGCAGGATCTGAATTTTAGGATGGATTTTTCTCCTGCAGAATCTGAATTTTGGGATGGATTTTTCTCCTGCAGGATCTGAATTTTGGGATGGATTGATTTTTCCTGCAGAATCTGAATTTTGGGATGGATTTTCCTGCAGGGTTTGAATTTTGGGATGGATTTTCCTTCAGAATCTGAATTTTGGGATGGATTTTCCTGCAGGATCTGAATTTTGGGATGGATTTTTCTCCTGCAGGGTTTGAATTTTGGGATGGATTTTCCTGCAGAATCCGAATTTTGGGATGGATTTTCCTGCAGGATCTGAATTTTGGGAGGTTCTGGTTCTGCTCCCAGCACTCCCAGGGTTCCTGGGAATCTCAGGAAGCTGAAAAATCGAAGGGAAAAGACAAAAACTGAACTCACTCCTTGACAAAATTGTGCAGCTGCTGCCGGACCGACCTCTGAGCCTGGTCAAACAGGATCTGGGAGAGAGGAGAGGGAAAATATCAATTATTTTGGAAAAGGGAAAAAAATAATAAATTGTTTTGGAGAAGGGAAAAAATAGAATTTGATTTGAAAAAGGAAAAAAAATAGAAATTGTTTTGGAAAGGGAAAAATCAATTATATTGAAAAAGGAAAAAAATCAATTATTTTGGAAAAGGGGAAAGAATAATAAATTGTTTTGGAGAAGGGAAAAAAATAGAAATTGATTTAAAAAAGGGAAAAAAAATCCATTATTTCGGAAAAGGGGAAAAAATCAATTATTTTGAAACAGGGAAAAAATCAATTCTATTGAAAAAGGAAAAAATCAATTATATTTATTGAAAAAGGAAAATTCAATTCTATAGAAAAAGGGAAAAATCCATTATATTTATTGAAAAAGGGAAAAATTCCATTATATTGAAAAAGGGATAAATTAAATTCTATAGAAAAAGGAAAAAAATCAATTATATTTATTGAAAACGGGAAAAAATCCATTATATTAAAAAAGGGGAAAATTCAATTATATTGAAAAAGGGAAAAACTCAATTATATAGAAAAAGGAAAAAATCAATTATTTTGAAGAAGTGAAAAAAAATCAAATTTTTTTTGTTTGTTTTGTTGTTTTTCGTTGGTTTTTTGTTTTGTTTTTGGGTTTTTTGGGTTTTTGGTTTTTTTTTTTTGGTTGTTTTGTTTTGTGAGGGGTTTTTTTTGTTTTTTTTTTTTTGTTTTTGACTTTGGAAAATTCTCCATCCCGGGTGCAGAAATCCGTGCAGATTTCAGCAGAGCTGAGCTCGGGGCCAGGGGGAGGAAATTCCTTCTTTTCCAGAACAGAAACTTCGGGAATTTTATTCCCTGGATCAGCTCAGGGGATGTGACAGGAATTGACCCCAAGGGCTCCAGGACAGAGAAATTCCAAATTCTCAAATTCCAAAAACAATTCTCAATTCTCGATTCCAAATTCTCAAATTCCCAATTCCCAATAATACAAAAAAAAAAAAAAAACCAAAAAAAACACACCCAAAAAATTACTCCAAAATAGCTCAAAAATAACCAACCCCAAAATAACCCCAAAACCCCTCAAAAATAATTCAAAAATAACCCAAAAATAACTCAAAAATTATGCCAAAAT